TTTTTTTTTTTTTTTTTTTATAGATCGTAATGAAGTTTAAGAATAGTAGCTTGGAACTCGTTGAGGTTAGATTCTTGTTTGTTATATTTTGTCTATCGCATTGATTAGTAAGGTACAAGTTTGTTGCTGTATCGTAGGAGCTTTTTTTTATGAAATGAAGGGGTGTATATAATTGTTGAGCTATCATGTGGAATTGTGTTACGCTTCATTTTGCAGCTTCCTATGAAGTGTTCAAATAAAAATACATGTTTGAAATGTTGGATTGGACGAGATGGATGAGAGTATACGATATACTTTTTCCTCTTGATTACTGAAACTGATTGACCTACTATGTTGACTGTATTTTCCCTCCATATAAAAGAAAGCTTGTGGCAAGTTGTGGAGAGAACAACACTGTAACCTTGACATTCTACAGTGGCAAGTTGATGCAACTTTCAACTAAGTTGTGTGTTCTTCACTAGCTTTTGCCTTTTGATATCGTGTAATTATATTTCTCAATTATATGGATTTAAATGTTCAGTTGGAAACGCATTATTCACGTCGTATTATTTTTTAAATCTTTTATTAAATTACCGTCAAATTGTTAATCGCAAAATATATACTCAAGTACTTGTGTATGTTTGGTACATGGATTAGACCGGTGTGGACAAATATTTCTTGTGTTTTCTTTACATAATATTTTTCGTCGCTCAACTTATATTTTAGTTTCAATGTGACTATTGCCACTCCATGTCAATAAATCACATTTTTAGTACAGAAAAAGAAAAGAAAGAAAAAATTCAAGTACGGAATTCTCATAACAAATTATTATTTGATTCAATTTCTGCAATCTTATGCTAATTACATTCATTTACTTTTTTGGTTAATTATAAAAAAAAATAAAGAATAATATTATTTATCATTATAATGATAGAATATCTATGTGACCATTTATTTGAAATAATAAGATTAAACGGTTCAATTTTCAGAGGATTGAGAAATGTGACCCATAATGAATTGTAAACAGAAGTCTCGTGTTTTCATTCTTGAAATTTACCTGCGAAAAATGCGCTTGAAAATTTTAATTCTATTCAAGCCAACCATTGCAAATTCTAAGGATAGTTAGAGAGAGACAAGAGAGGGGGAGGGGACATTATTGGAGTAAATTGTGTTTCTTTCCTTCCTCTCGATGCTTAAACCAGGCCCCTCTAACAAAATCTTGGCGTCCTATCACCCATCGATGGATATTATTTTGCATTTGAAATGAAATAATATATAGGAAAAGAAGAATAAAATACATTGTTTCTTGATGGGTGGGACCAAAATTCATGATTTTGCTCCTTCCTCCAAATTCATGGACTCTCCCAGATCCAAGAAAAGGGCCAAAAGGCTTTACCAAGTTTGGCAAGGTCGAAATGTAAGCCCCTCTTCTTAAGATTTGTTTATGTGATTTTATTGTTTCTTGGATTGTCATTTCATATAGTTTTTTTCTGTTTTGATGCAAGAAAACTCATCTATAATGATTGTGATATCGCAATATACAGTAGAACCGGGAAGTTAATTGGTGGAACATGTTAAAAGAGGAAGAGGGGTAGCCAAAAATAACATGGCCAGCGGGACTTGCTGAAGATTTATTTTTTCCTTTAGATCCGTCCATTGATCTAGCAATGAACTGAATGGAGTGGTAGAAAGAATTCATGTAATTGATGCTAAATTTATTGGGAAAAATACTCAGTTTTTTGACGGTGTGAGCAAGACATTTGTCCATGCAAGGTGAATGCTAGGATGGATGGGCCTTGTGTCATGAACTGATAATCCCAACATAATTTTCTCGTTTAGTAATTCCTGTGGTGTGTATACATGGTATGTTCTTACGAGTAAATGATCAAAAACCTTGCTTTGGTTTTATAACAATTGACAAAATATTCACAATAAGAACCTTATAAGAATCTCGTTTAGTAAGAGAACTGTGGTAAGCTGGATATATGCCAGTCTGGGATTTAAAGAGATCATATCATACTTTTGTAGTGGTTGTATAGAATGTAGATATAATTATTAACATTAGTATTCGACAGTGAATTCTTCTCTAAATATGGAAAACTCTTGTTAAACTCATTCAAATTCATACATTTAGTGAAAACTCTTGTTAACCTGGCCATGCGAGGTCATTTAGTGAAAATCCGTTCAAATCTAAGTGAACCTAATTATAGCCAGTGCCCTCCCTCTTTAGAAGTGATACTAATCTTGGAATTTGGGAATTGTGCTGATCAGTCTAAAACCTCACGTTTGGTTTTCTGGCATGGAGTATTTATTTTCCAAGTAAGGATTGAAGCAAAGCTAGAAGGCAGACATGGGGGACCAATAAACAAACAATAATATCGTAAATAAGATTTTTTTCCTTCTTTTGTTTTTTGGTTGGTGGGGGCGGGGGAGGAGTTGACTTCGTGGATTAAAGAAATGAGAGGAGGTCCATCACAACCGCCCTTCAGTGCAAGAAAGAGTTTTTGGGAGCAAGTCTACAAGCCATTGAAGTGAGAGCACCAAGAAAGGCAGGAGAGTTTTTGTAATGAATAATTTGAGTTATTGAGAACTTTATCGGGGAAAGCATTTGTCATCAGATGACAACTACTGCTTTCAAATGGACGTATTTTGAATTCATGGTTTACGAAAATGAAATAGCAGGGTATTGACCCACCTGTTCTACAACTAAGCTTAGTTAGTATTATGTATTCAGAGACATTGCAGCTTTCAAATATGGAAGTCAGGATTATCAGTAAATTTAATCTTCCACATCTTGCAAGGTCGTACTTTTCATTTAATTTTACTAGAGTTACTCATTGCTGCATAGTTGCTCACTTGAAGTATATTTGAATTGAAGCATTTAATAGAAACTCTTTTTGATTTGAGACAACATTGATAAAATTTGCAAATGTCTGTTGGATGCACATAAAATGCTAAGAACTCTTTTGTGAATGATAACTGAATTTGATAATTTAAGGTTTTTATTCGTCAAATTTATGAATAGATCAGGAAGAGAACTTTCGCCTCTTTCTGTTTTCCATTTCCAAATGCTCCTACTGTTTCCTTCAATGAGCACACTTGTCAAAAAAATATTTAACTGGAGGAATGATTGTCAAACAAGACCATACATTACATTGTTTTCCTTAAAACTGATTGGCGCTTTACGACTTCAAACACTTCTAGTTGTCTGTAGGCATGCTGCAATTATTGTATGTTCAGGGAATACGTCTCTTCATTTGTGGTGCTACTGGCAGAATTTCTCAAGATTTTCATCACAGGATAAGGGATGAAGTCTTTGTTGGAGGATTATAAATTTTCTATTCCTCTATTACTTAAATATGATGCTTTGAATGATATAAGCATTTTCATTGTATCTAAGCTCAATTGTTACTAATGTAACTCATAATACAACAATTATAAATTTCATTCCTCCAACGTTTCAGAAATTTACGTGCGGTGGGAGATTGATCTTTGGTCCTGATGCATCATCCCTTTTTTTGACAATCTTCCTGATAGGGGGCCCTGCATTAATATTCTGTATCAAGATGCTTGTGAGGATTAAAGAAGTTGACTTCTTGTACGGGAATATTGTGTTGACTATAGGATTTTTCCTCACAGTTTTGGTGGGTAAACTGATTATTTTCGAGAAAATATTTATGTGTTTAGAAACTTAAAACACTGACTTTTTACAGGATTTGATTTTTCTCTTCATGACATCTGCAAGAAATCCAGGAATAGTTCCTAGGAGCTCATGGCTCGCTGAATGTGACGAATCGTCTTATTCCTCTTCATCTGTAGATTGGATCAACGGTGCAAGTCCTGATATAAAATTACCCAGAACAAAGGATGTATTTGTCAATGGGCACATAGTTAAAGTGAAGTACTGTGACACTTGTTTTTTATATCGTCCACCACGTGCATCTCATTGTTCAATCTGCAACAATTGTGTCCAGAGGTTTGATCACCACTGTCCATGGGTGGGGCAGTGTATTGGACTTGTAAGTATTTTTTGAAAACTTTATGCTAGATGTTCTCTTTCATTTTACTTGAGTAATGTTTTATTAGAACTAAGGTTTCCCAATTTACATTTGTCTTCAATTCTGTCATTTTATATACAAAGTAAAAAAATAAAATAAAATGGACTAATAACTTTTTCATTCATCAATTTGGTGCACATTTGAGTTCAGTCATTTATCACTGGTATTTTACATCTGTAGCCGACCCCAAATTTATTGGGAAGAAGGCTTATTTTGAAGTGTTCGTATTTTTATCAACAAATTTACATGTTATCCTTCAGTAGGATATTAGGGAGACTTTAATTTGCACTTCCAGTAGTCTTATAGCAATTTAAGTTCTGTCTGACTGCGCGTCACAACTAACAGTGGCTCAATTATTAAGTAGCACCATTTTCAATAAAAGATATCTTTAGCAACAAGTAAACATTAATTTGTTGATCTAAATACCAGACTTTCTTAATTCTAATGCACATAAATCTGTAAATAATAATGTAATGAGCCTTGGAAGAGAACTCTTAACAGATCGATTTCAATTTCAACTGAGGTTTTCAAATACCTAAAATACTGTTATTTGTGTCATGCACATCTCACCATTCAGGTACCCTTCTTTCTCTTTGATTTTTTTGTTTTTGTAGACTATATGGTAAATATGGGAGCTCATTTATTGCATGGAGACATGTTGAATAATGCAAGCTTACTACATTTTTCCTGTTTCTTTCGATTGGCTCTTCAAAATACCCCTTATTACACCTCTCAAGACGTTGGAAACTTCTCAAAATAGTTTTTAGTGGTGGAGTATTAAATAGAAAATGATCAGTACTTGCAATTTATAAATTTGATGTAGTAAGGAAAACAGACATAGAATTACTATTTGGTGATGTTTTGTTAGGCACAAACAACGCTAGTGATGTTGTTATGGTTGCATTCACATTAGCAATCTCATGATGCTTCATCACTCAACTGTCATCAGAGTTTGCAAAATCCTCCACGGCATGTTTGGAGCTTGGTAAGGTGGATTGGACAATACTGGACAATACTAGATATTATTAAAAGTTATAATGTTGTACTGCATAATAAACAAGCTTTTACTGTACTTGACTGAAATCATGTACTATCGACTAAGAAATAAGTCAGATTTCCGTTTTCAAATATTTTCCTTGTCTACAGTGACTATTTAGTTCCTTCAGTTTCTTGAAAAAAAATTAACTCTTTAATTGTCTATGTTGATTTTTGGTTGCAGCGCAACTATCGGACGTACATATTGTTTATATCGACATCAACAATCTTGTGTATATATGTTTTCACATTTACTTTAGTGAACATACTCAAGGAACCAGGCAGCATGTGGGGTATCTTGTCGAGGGATATAATGTCTGTCGTTCTATTAGTGTACTGCTTCATTGCTGTTTGGTTTGTAGGCGGCCTGAGTGTCTTCCATTTCTATCTTATCTGCACCAACCAGGTTAGCTTCTCTCTTAAAGGTCAAGTTCCATTTCATATTCTAACGTGTTATGTAATTCTGAGTTCTTGTCAACTATGCGTTAATGAATTTCCTGCTAAACTGTTACGAGCCCTATGTTTGCTTCAATTGCTTGCATAAATGCAGATTTTGTTCCTTAGCAAATTCTTCAAGATTGTAATCAATGTTAAAAATATATTTCAAGAACTGGATTGGTGAAAACTGGAATTAAGGATCTAACTTCACCATTTGGGGACAAATGTTGAGAAGGACCCAAGAGTCTCTAATGAGTCCCATTAAAGACAGAGAATGCAAGATCACCCACTTGCTGTATGATAAATCAAATAACCACGTTAACAGTTGCAGAAAACAACCAATTTCAGGGGGTAAAATATACTGTAATGATAATGAACTATAGACAAAAATATAATGCATTGTTCCTGAAGTGATCCTGTGGATGAATCCAAACTTCAGTGATGTCAGGCGAGTCTTGCTTGAGAATCTGTTGTTTTTAGTTCACTTACTACCCTTATATATAGTAATCTAGTAGTTCGGGCTTTTATGGTTTAGCAGCATATGTATAGAAGTCCAACAGTATATTTCAAATTTTTTTTTGTTCACAGACGACATATGAAAACTTCCGGTATCGGTATGATAAAAAAGAAAATCCATATAACGGAGGGACGATAAAGAACCTCAAGGAAATATTTTTCTCTAAGACGGCTCCATCTCTGGTAAATTTCCGCAAATGGGTGATTGTGGAAGACGAATCAATTATAGGATCCATGACAAAAAGAATTGAAGGGGATATTTCGAACTCCATGGGGAAGAAAGACCTGGACCCTGGTATTATTGGCAAGGATGGTAAGCGGCATAATATGGATTATAATGGCATTGACGACAGTTTGAAGAAGGGAAATGGAGGAAAAGTTATGCCTGACCCTTTCTTCCATCCGGGTCAAGAAGAAAAACTTGCTACTGGAGATGCTACTTTTGACAATGAAGGGACTGAGGCTAGCTCCCAGAGAAATTCATCTGCAGTGCTTCAGAGGTAAAAGGAAATTTATTTCTGTGCTGAAAACACTGTTAGCGAAGTTTCCTGTATGTTAGTTAACGGAGAGCTTTATTTTATTTAGTGTTGTTTGATCTTTGTTTTTGCCAATTTCTTGCCTTCTTCTTTTGTACTTTCCTGCACTTTTTCCTTTGGCCAATTTGTAATCTCTCATTTTTCTTTTGTAGGGTGAAGGTTTGAAGATTGTACAATATAAGTAACTCAAAAAGTTATAATCTCTCATTCTACAAAGGGAAAGGAAGAAAGGTTTGGAATTCATTTTGCAAGATTTCCATTGTGATTTTTCGAAGGAAAATACTATGCATGTTTAGAAGAAGGGATGTGGTAGAATAGGTTTGTTCGCTTTTTTTCGTTCCATTTTTTAGGTTCAAAATTTTCTTCCATTGGAACTTTTTTTCTTAATTCTGTCGCTCCCAGAAAATCTTGTCAATGATAGTTGATATGTGATATTTTCATGTCGACAAGAAAAATATATTTGTTATGCTATCCTTGCGCTAATTTTGAAAAAAAGTCTTTCATTTCAAACGACGAGAGATGTTTCTCAATGTTAGCTTCATCCCTTGTATATTGGATAATTAACTTTTTATTTATTTTAACCATAAGATAGTAAATGATTTTATTTTTTACTTTGACCAACAAAAAGATATTTATTTTACACTTTTTTTACTTGATTCACATGTTTACTCAAGCATGCAATATGTCATGAACATGAATATTTGGTTTGACATGAAAATTGTCATGTTGAAATATTATTATAAGCCAAATGGACACAACAAGAGTCAAAAACAAAAACACATCATCACACCTCTTATTTCCAATAATTGAAATTTAATATAAGTAGATATTTTATCAAAATTTTTAAAATTAATTTTTTAGCTAAAATAAACAGGCTTGGCTTTTTGATCAAAGTGTGACAAAATAATGCAACTAATCAAACTTTTTTGTGAATATTGCCTTTTATTGAACATGATCTTGGAAGTACAGTGGCATCCAAGAAATTGTTGAATTAAGTTACCAAAAAAAAAAAAAAGAAAAGAAAATTACATGCATGGTAACTAAATTATGCTATGCCCTTGTTTGAGAAAATTTGGGAAAAATGTATTTTGAAATAGTAATTTTGTG